AACTGGATGAAAAGTAATTTATAATTATTATCTGCTCATCAGTGAATGAGCAGATAAAACCACTTAACACTGATAGTTGATTGTGGGTTTTCACCTGACCAACAGGCTAGCCACATGGAGTTTTCTGGGGGTTTTTTTTTTTTCATGTGTAACACTTAAGCCAAGGCCAATTTCCCATAGAAAGTCCTCCGAGAGGCATTCTCATTGACAGATTGCCCATGTATTGTGCTGCCTTATCCTATTAATTTAATCTACTACAGTCATCATTTTAATTGAAACCTCTCAACTGAGTATAAACTGTCATTTCACTTGTTTCAAAAAGCAATTGAGCTGTAGTTTACAAATGTAGGCTATGTTTGGCAAATATAAATCTATCATTTTTCCAGAAAGAATATCTAAAAATCAACTAAAATAAACTTTGAAATGTGCTTAATTTGCATAGTCAAATTTCAATTGGTAGACCATTTGTTCACCTTCAAAATTAGTACTAAATTGAGCATGAAGCTAGACTGGAGTACTTATACATAAGTTTGTATTTGAGAGTTTGAAGTCACATGATTTAGTGATAACAATGTCATTTACATTGCAAGTGCATAAATTTAGTAATTTGTAGAAATTAAGGCTCTTGATTTAATATTTATGTGGAAGCATTGTTCCCAAGTATTCATTCATGCTTTGAATGTGGCTCCATTTATGAGGAGAAACTTTACTTATTGAAATTTGACTATATATTTCTGTAATTCTTGGGTATTTTTGTATTAAAATTTTTGGATTGAAGGACACTTCTAAGCATCAAACAATAAACTGTAATTCTTTATCATGACAACTATAAATACTAAGATACCTGTTGTTGAGAATATAATTTACTATATATAATAATAAGTTTTATGACTAGTTCTATTAAAATGATAAAATTCAAACTCATACTTTTTCAGCAATACAAAGAGCAAATAAAAACTAAAATATACTTTTAAAAAAATGCTATTAATATCCATTTTTGCAATTTTTATTTATAACTGATCGGATAGGAAATTCATATCTGACTATATGGATGCATTGCCCAGTAAAGTGACTTTAGTACATCTGGATAAGCCAACAACATACACTATTTCAAATAAAACAGGCTATTTTATTGGCTTGCTTATCAGGCTGCATTAAAGACACTTTACTAGGCAATGCACCCAATACTTCTGTCGAATTATTACATTTTAATTATTCAAATGCCAGGCTTGTCATTTCATGTGTACAGTTGTATGAATGTAATGTATCAGTCTGTGCATATGGAAGTAGTTTGCTTTTATTGCTTTAACAGGTGTGCAAGTTTTGTTATGATTTTTACATTGTTACTAAAAATACATATGAAAGAAATAAAATTAAAAGATTTCTAAGCACTAGATAATGTGTGTTAGGTCCTTATAGTTGACAGTGTTCTAATTAAATGTAAATTTGTAGATTTCAAGGGTTTTCACATACCTAAGATGGTGCTTGTTTCTAACATGTTTGACATTAGCTTCGTCCCAGCAAATCTTGACCAAATCATCCAATGTGCAGATTGCCAGGGCTGTAAAAGGATGCAACTTCTTAACATTATAATTATGTTCCGTAAGCATAAAAAATTAAAAGAAGTTATGTTTAATAAAATGTCAGATTGACTCATTGCATTTTGTTTGAAAAATTTGGAATAAAACTAAAAATGTGACAAAATAATCTCTTAATGACAAAAGTAAACTCATAACAGATCTTTTCTAGCAGACATCTGTTGTCAATGAGGAAAATAAAAGCTCTGGTTCTGGCAGATGCTTACAGGGAAAGGTCTGTTTTAATGTATGTGTTATGGAACTATTTTGTCACTTAAAAGATGTGTTTTTGATGCAGGTTATACATGATAGCTTTTGTATTGTATGTAACTATGATTATAGTTCAATGACACTAGAAGCGTTGCATCTTTAGAAACCAGAATCAATCATTGATTTTCAGCTCCAGTTTAACTTCTGTAAACTGAGTTTCCTGCACAATGATGTACTAAGATAAATGTATTTATTTCTGTAAGGTTTAAAGGTTTTATATTAAAGCTTAGTAAAATAAACAAAACGATGATAATTATTCATTCAGGTTATGCAAAATTTAAGTCTGTGAAATTAAGTGTTTACGAATTATAAATAAGAATAATATGGCATTTATCTTTTGCTGCAGGACTAACTTGGTCTTGAAGAAATCTTAATTGTTATGCTACAAGACTACAATTTTAAATATTGTTAGCTTGCATATCATAAGACCATTACTAAAGAGCATTGTTGAGCATACATTGTTAGGTGAAATATTTGTTTATTTTATTACTATGAAGAATGTAATGGCCATCACCATCTAATTAGTGATGGCGATGGCCATTACATCACCATCTAATTAGTGATGGTGAATTACAATAACCAAACCACAAACATTGGAAAGCATAAAAGTACTTTTGTTGCAATAGATAAGTTGTTTCAATCAAATTAACTAGAACTACTACTAAGTTCTGTTTAATATGACTGAAGATGACAGGTGAAACTACTGTTTGCATTGAATTTTATGCTGTAACATTGCAATTCAGTTATTTGCTATTGTACTAATATGCAGAGTTTGGGAAATTTGCCAACTAATTAGCGATGTGCACTGTTTTAAGCTATGAAACTCACTAATTCAACTATCTTCCAGTTATTTCAAACAAGGATAACTGAAACTTAATATTTATTCTTCTATAACATTTTCTTCAAGTTAATATCATTCTGATATTAATAGTAATGAATATTCTAAATCTAAATCATGATATCAGTTAAGTGTTTATGTTCAGTTATCAAACAAAAATTAATGTAAAGTAGTCTCAACTTAATTATTTACTTGGTAAGTTAGACTTGAAAATTAACAAAGTTTTGCTTTTTCAAATTGTTCCACTTTATATTGCACTCAATGATGATAAATTTGATGTAACTGCATATAAAGAGAAATTTTTGCTCAGTTTTACTTTTCAACTAAATTATAAATTTATAAATTATGTGAATTTTTACAGTAAAACCATCTTCTTTTAGGATTTAATTGATTTCTGGAAATCCTTCATAAGTGTTATCTCATTTTCCACAAGTTACATGGCATAACTTCAAGTTACATTCTTAGAAATAGTGTGATGATGATATACAGATTTTTTTTTAACGATATATAGATTGTTCCAGGTAAAAACCAGCCCTATTCACTGATTGAATAAAATAGGCTGCCTTAAATGAGAAAACATCAATTATAAGGTTTTGGAGTTTTTATCTAATTTTATCGTTTAAATTGAAGCTTACAATAATTTACTCAGTCAACAAGCAAGGTCCGTTTTACATGAGATATCCAGTTTTACACCATGAAAAATGTTAAAAATATTTACAGTGGTACCTCAGGATACGAACGCCCCAGCATATGAAATTTTCAGGATACGACATGAAATTTGAATATATTTTTACTCCACAATACAAACAAAAACTCACCATACAACGTTATATTAATTTGCAGCACCATTTTTTATTCACTTCTGTTCGTTGGTCTTAGTCCTCCTGTTTGCTTCGTCGTAGAAGGATCTCACTCGATAAAGGAAATCTTGAGGTAATATCAGAAAGTGACTGATTTTATTGAAAAGAAACATCCAAAAAGATTTACACTGGGCCGTATTGCTGCTTAGAGTAATGACATTTGCCAAGTCATTTTAGAAAAATTTTAAAAAGTAGGCAAAGCCAAACTTTTTTGGATAGTTATTTTACCAAGCGACTTCTATCCAGTGAAAGTGCTGGTGGAAGTGAAGGAAAGAAAGCAAAAAGCAGTGAATAAAAATTTTAAAAATATATATAAAATAACACTAATTTTTCAATCAAAAACATCAAAAATTTCAGACTATGAAGCATTAATTAGAATTAAAAGAAATATTTTAATCTTGCAAGCGCTTTCAATGTAAATATGTACATCGTCTTCAGGCAATTCAAAATCGAATTGCCTGAACACAACGAAATCAAATTCAAAATATTTCTTTTAATTCTAATTAACACCTCATAGTCTGAAATTTTTTATGTTTTTAATTGAGTTAACTGTTGGCGTGATGTCCGAGCCAAGTATTTAATACACCTAACAACACTAATTTTTTTTAATCGTTTCTAAGTTATTTTTAAGTTATTGTTACATTATGTTATGTAAGTTAAGTTTTAGTATCATTTCCCTTCTCCCTCTCTTCCGCCACCAGTTTACACCTCCACCGTCGTCTATCCTCAAAGTTAAAGTGCAAATAAAACTACATTTTTTTAATCAATTATTATTCTATTATGGTTATTTATATATTTAAAAATACAAAATGCATTTTTCAGTGTTTTCCTTACTATATATTTATTTTTCTTTAATGTACTATTTAGCTTTAATTTGAGTGTGTTTTTCATGTTGGAACGAATTATTTGGTTTTACATGTAATCATATGGGAAAAAATGATTCACCTTAAGACATTTTCATGATACGATCTCAGTTTCGGAATGGGTTAATTTTGTATCCTGAGGTACCACTGTATATAGCATTTCACATAGTTGTAAATAATAAATTTATACCAGTCATAAAAGCAGTGTCTTCAGTAAGAAATAATTTGCCTAAAGATATTCATGTTGAATGAACTATTTTAGATAAATACAATGCTTTCATATATACAAATTTCCTGTTTTCTTTTGAGTTTATAGTGCTAATTTTACACAATTTTGATTTGCATAATGATTTTGTGGGATTTAGAAATTACATAAATTAAGATCAAATTCCATCAGTTTGAATACAGCTATAAAATGTGTAATAAAAGCTTTGTTTTTAGTATATTTTGCATGCAATTTATCCATATTTCAAGCAGTTAAAATTATGAAAGTATTATACTTTGTATTTATGTGATCATTCAAAAGTTTTGTCATACTTTAAACTAAATGAAATGCTTATTTTACAATGTTTTTCTTTTTTTTTTCTTACAGATGAGTTCTGTATACCTTTATTTTTTGAAACTGTCTTTACCTTGTAATGATATTGTGATGGCTTCCTAGTGTTACGCAAACGTTCACAATATGGCCAACGAGCTTCCTAATGAAGATGTTTTGGCAAAGAAAGTGCGTCTTACATTAGACGTGGGAGTTCATGGTTCATCGCGCGTGCCTCCCTTCACAAGGAAAAACGCAGGTTCTCTCTGTCATCAGCGCAACTACAGCTTAGACTATCGGACACCACATACAAACATTCAGACACATCATAGAAATCGTAGCTTAGATTCCGTTCTTCAACAAATTCCCGAAGGCAAAGGACCAGTGCTAAATAATCATTCTCTGCAGTCTAAAGATATTTCTTTGGAAATTTCATCTTCTTGTTCGTCTAATCAGTTATACTCTCTGACCACTCCTGGACCAAAGGACACAGACAGAACTAGTTTGGCCTCGGACGACAGCGGAATTTTCAATTCAGACGACGGTGACCGAAACGGCAAAGTGGCCGAATCCTCCGGCATAGTCGTTGACTTCTCCATGCCGTTGCAGACCAAAACTGAAATGCGAGAATACCAAAATTCTGTTTGTAATTCCGAAAATTCAACTGTTGTGATGTCTAAGAAGCCGCCGCCAAGAGAATCCTGGCTACTGCGGTTATTCGAGTCGAAACTGTTTGACATGTCCATAGCTATAACCTACCTCTTTAATTCTAAAGAATCTGGCGTCCAGACTTACATTGGTGAGTAGTATTAATTTATCATTAGACATGAAAAAGTAAATGAAAAAGCAGCAAAATTTAAGGGCAGAATGAATGAGATATTTTAGATATTTATTTAAACTAAACAAAATAATATAATAACAAGTTTATTTAAAAAGACAATATGAAATTCTTTTCACTTTCTCTACCTACATACACTGAAGGGCTTATCCTTTATGCCAATCATAGTTGTTTGTTATATTCACAATAGGATAGCCATGTGATGAAAATATTCCAAATGAAACTATATTTTTGAGGTTCTGACTCAGACTTGGATTTAAATTTCTCAGATGGCAAAATAATGATTTTGTCTTGACAACCTGGCTATGAACAGTATTAGATTTAAATGATTAATAATAAAACACAAAAAACACAATTTAAACTTAAATTTTTTTTATATAACATAATATTCACAATTCAAATCAGAGAAGATTCAATACCATTGCATATAGCATTATTTTACATAGTTTCCTATAGAAAGTAATTAGTCCAAAATGACACTTGCCTTGTCAAACATCATTATTTCATAAATTACCATTCAATAGCCATAAACATGTTTTAGGATCATTTAACCTCTCTTCAATATAGAATTTTTACATTGCCCTACCAAGAACTCCTATGAACCTTTGACAACAAACAACCATATGATAAACTTTAATATGTTCAGAAGCTAATGTATTGTTATCTTGCATTATGAATATCAGAAATGAAATACAAATACTGCAGAATTTCAATTACAGTAGCGCGTCGTTTATCTGAATCAATTGGGGACTGGGGTGGTTCGGATAACTTATTTTTAAGATAACAAATCATGTACGAAAAAATATATTAATTTATCCCATGTTGAAATTTCTCTCCGTTGCGTGTCGCTTTGTGTTGAATTTTCGTCAATGTTAAGCCTAACGAAGACTATTGTATTGTTAAAAATTATTTTTTTATTTTGTACAAACAAAATAAATTTATTGAAAAATATAAAAACAAAAAAATTATACTTCAGATGTTAATTTAGTATCAAAAACGTAAAATATTTGAGTAGCCCAAGAAATAGCCGAAGATTGCAGCGCCACAGCACTAGCGAAAATTTAAATTTGCCGACTGGAATGCTTTCAGATAACGGACGTTTCGGATAAGCGACGCTCTACTGTATTAAAATTAGTATGGACCAAGATTTCCTTGCATAACCAAAAGCTTTGATAATGTCAACTCTTTGATACAAAGTGATTGATAAAATAGAAGAATATTGTTAAAAAATCAAAGTTGTATATGATGATAAAAAAGATAAAATGGATTTACACCAAGTATTACAACAAGATAACCATAGATACATAGCCAAACAATTGTCTTAAATACTTGGATACTTGGGCTATAAATCTGCTAATTTTAATAATTAATACTAAGTACTTTGCTACTAGAGGTAGACATTAGGCACTATCTCTTATCTAAATTAATAATTATAATTTTTAAATAATTTAGAATCATCTGGATGAAAAGAAGTGGCCCAGGGTGGGACTTGAACCCACAATCTCAGAATTTATAGCTGGAGTATTTAAGGCGATTGTTTGGCTATATATATATATATATATATAGGGCTTTTGGTTGTTTAACAAGACAACTGTCTTTAGCATTAAAAATTGCAAAATTGAATCGAAAGACACAGTTGATGATGTGTTAATTATCAAAAATGTTTGCAAGTAAGATCTTGTAAATAACAGCTTGTCTTTTGACTCAATTTTGTGATTTTTAACATTGGAGACTGTTCATATTCTGTTTGTTATGATTACAATTAAAATTCTATTGTTGTGAAAAGTCACAGAAATAATTATTTTAAAAATTTCTAGAGCTCCTTTTAAGTACTCAGCATCACTTCATCAAGATTTGCAAAACAAATGTACTCTACTACGTTTCCTTATCTTTGTTGATTAAATACTCTTTCACTGTTTACATCAGATAAAGCACAAGAACTTTAATGAAACAAGTTTCACTTAATCAGAATTCAACTCTACCTATATACTTCCTACTAATACAAATCTTTTAATTATTAATTAACTTAGTTTAAAATTAGTAAATAAAATCATAGAAAGTTTGTAATATAATTAATAATTCTATCTAAAAAAACCAGCTTTAGATATATTAAAAAAGTGTGTTATGGTTTACTCTGTATATATGTACTGTACATATAAACCATGCTGTGGTAAGCTTAAGTCAGCTTAGAGCCATGGAAAGATGTACACACATATTTAATTTGCGTAGTGACAACCTGCTTGGCGTATGACCTAACTCAATACAGATCTGGAAGTTTTAAATTTAGACAGAGATCTAGGTAACTTAACTGTTAACTCATCTACATGACAAATAGTTGTGTGTTGACTTTTTCTTCCAGAAATTATTTATTTAAAATTCAAAATTTTTAATAACTAAACTAAGCACAACATGTGCAGATCATTTGTATATGCAAGATATATGAATGAGTTAAATTCTTATTTTAAGTATAAGGACTTGGTCTATAGACCAAGAGTTCTTTGGATAACCAAAAGCTTTGATAACACCCCTCTTTGGTACAGATTGATAAAATACAAGAATATTGTTATAAAATCAAACTTTTATGACAATAAAAAGATAAAATAGACTCACACTAAGATGTATAAAAACAGAAAACAAATTGTCTTTGGCATTAAAAATTGCAAAATTGATTCAAAAGACAAACTAAAAATGATTGATTGTTTGAAAGCTTGTCAAATGCATTGAAATAACCTTAAATAATTAAATAGTAAGTTACTACAAGAAGTTTTAAATGCATTTTGAATATTTTTACAGGTAATCGTATGTTTAGCTTCAGTGATAAAGAAGTCGATTTCTACCTTCCTCAGCTTGTGAGTTTATATGTTCACCATGCTGATCTTGCAGAAGCAATCCATCCATATCTTGTTTATAGGTAATATATATTCATATTTTAATCTTGATAGTTTTTATGAGATTACTGATTTTAATTGTTTGTTTTTTGTGCTTTTCAGATGTAGGAATAGTGTGGAATTCTCCCTCCAGTTAGCATGGTTGTTGTCTGCTTTTTGTGCAGACAGTTGTATTCCTCGTCGAAGATCGCAGGGTGCAAAGATGAAATCACTGATTTTGTCTGAAGAATTGAGGTAATTCTCACAATTCTGTATCAAAATTTAATTTTTTTATGTACAGTTTTTATTTAATCAGCTTTTAAAATAAAATTTAGAGATCATTTTCACAAGAATAAATAATAACATGCAGATTTTGTAATAGATTTTTTTTTTCCAATTACTGTTTAGGATTTAGTCAAAAATAAATGAGTACCATATGTCTTCTAGTATGAGTATCTTCAACCCATTAGAGAAGAGTAGAAAATGGATAGTTATTTTTCATGTTAATAAGCAAATATTCTATCATTTAATAAAAATATACTAAATTAGACTATATTTAATAATGGAAGAATCGATTTGATAGAGTCATATCTAGTTTATTTTTATTTTATTTTTTTTTCGAATTCTTGTCGCAACCAAAAAGTAAAGAGATAATTTACTAATTACCCATTAAGTTTAATTTGCAAAAAAATTCAGTAGGTCTATTTTATAACGTTTGCATTGATAAACAAAAAGAAATTTACCAACTTTTCCATTGGTTTATTTACTTTTGACTCGTTCGGTAAACTTTCGTTAGTAAAAAAAAACATAAAAGGAAAGAAAGAAAATTTACTTGTTAATTACGCATTAAATGACTTTAAAATCTGGGCATTTAACAATTTATCCGTGCTTTAATGAAATTGTTTCCGGTTTAATGCATTGCCCAAAAAGTTACTTCCCCGTAACAACATTAGGCGATTATCGAAAAACGTTAATCACGGAATAAAAAGGAGTATTTATTTTTCATCCCCTAAAGGAAGAATTTAAAGTTTTAATTATAAGAATGGATAGAAAACAAAGGGTTAAAAAAAAAAGGCTAAAATTGTGGAAATAGACTATTCCGTACACGAATTTTCTAGATGGGATTATAAGCACTTGACCAAGAGGTAGCTGCTGATAACAAGGTGCTCTAATCAAGACCCGGATCAATAGGCACTTTCTTGTGTTTCCTCTCTTATTCCCAAATTGACTGAAGTTGTTCGAGAGATAAAAGACTGAGAAGTAAATAGCCACATTTCGAACCCTCCCCTGCAACATTTATCCACTAAATCCGGAAATCTTACCCGCTTTTCCTCTCTCAAAAAATACACTAAATTCTTAATTCGTTCGATTAATTATAACAATAAACAATAGTAAAATAAACAAAAATATTTCTTAAAAATTAAAAAAAATTGTTTAAGTTTTATTCTTAAGAAAACAACGAAAATTACTANATAGAGTCATATCTAGTTTATTTTTATTTTTTTTACATATAAACATAAAGTAAAATCAAGATAATGATCGATTGTTGTACTGATTTGAAAACATTTAATCATTCAATAAAGATGAAAACATTAAACACATTCATACATGTAAGGAAAAATGAAATTTTCTTTTAAACACACGTGAATATTAAGTTGTTTACAAATGATTTATGAATATACTCTTCTTCAATTAAATATTCAAAATGATTATATACAATAGCAAAATTTTTAGTTCAGTTGGTAATTTTGTGAGTATTTTCAAATGCAGATTAGTGTTATAAACAAAAAATTATGTAAAGTGTCAATTTTAATTAATATGTTTCCTTTTGAAATCAGGAATTAAGACAAAATAAAGTTTTTAATACTTCATGGATTCAGTTACATCCTTCTTCAATCCCATCTGTTTGATATTAATAACAAATATGAAATCTTAAGTAGCTTCAACTCTTACAATCAATAATTGATCTAAAACAAAAACTAAAGTAATAAGGTTTGTTTATTTTACATTTAATGTTTCAAAGCTTTAAGATATTTCATCTTCAATCTTCTCAACATTCAGATTTGAATCTGTAACTAGTTTATAGCTCTAAATTCAAGAATATTAATGCATTTGAACATGAAACATTTTAAAACTTTGAAAATATTAGTGCAAAATAAACTTGAATTTTTATTATTATTATTCAGTTATTAACTGTCAAATCTGTTTAAATAAATAAATGATTTTATTTGTAAATTGAGTATTAAAGTATCTGCTTGAACCAAACACGTGTTTAACTTTTCCTGGGTGTTATTTAGGTGAACACAGTTTATATGGCACAGTTATGTGTTCTGTTTTTTAATAAACTTGATCATTTGATTATTTCACTTAATAATTATTTCAGGATTATAATGAATTCAATTTACATTAGGTTGGGTCACACACAACCATTTTTCTGATTTTTATTCACAGTACAGTTGATCTGGGTATTATATAAAACAACTTTATTATTATTATATTAATGTAATTGTAATATATAAGACAATATTTATTTTTCAAACATCTTTTTGACCCCTGACGATGTTATTGTTTTCATATTTAACGTTTGTTTAATAAATATATGAAAATAAGATTATCTTTTGCTTCATTATGCTTAAGAAAATTAAAACAGGAATTAAGGTTAGAGGTACTGATTATTGCATTTAATTTTTAATTGTTTACATTTAATAAAATATATTTTTGTGTTAATAATACTTATGAGTATTATGAAATATTTGAGAAAATTTATATGTTAATTAATATATAATTGAAAATTATCTTATATTTATTAGTTTTGTAATTACTTTAGGCCTCGTTCTGTTACTAATGCATTCAATAGTAACTTGTCATCGACAAGTCCTATTTTATCTCCCTCCAAAAAGACTCATCATCGTTCTCTTTCTGACGCAACAGGTAATTTTTAATTTTCTGACCTTTAAAAATATACTTATTAAAATTTTTTTCAATATTTGAATTGTCAAAATAACACTTCAATATTTTTAGGGCTGTCTCTAGAAAGTTGTGGATTAAGAAGATGTTCCAGTAGTATAGAACAACCCAATAAAATTGCACTAGGCGAATTATCTTCTGGTCATGCATTTGATAACAGATGTACCTGTTTTGATAGTTGTGAAGGTGTATTTAGTGATCTGAAAGGAATTAAAATAGAATGTCACTGTCAGGTTAGTTAAGTTTGCTTTTGGTAAAAAAATGTAAGTGATCATTAAATACTTTCTGTATGTCTTTATGTCCACTATTGTTGTTAGTTAATATTTACTGTTATTTTACCAGTAATTAAAACAACTTTTAATGATTTCAGGCTCCAAGACTTGCTCCAGAACAAGAATTTGTAAAGGCTTTAATTAATATTGGCCTTCGGTTGCAAGCCGTCCCTACTAAAGAACTAAAAAGTGAGTAACTTGTTTCATGTAAGAGAGTAAACATATTGTTTTTTTCTTAATGAAAAAATTTGTTTTAATGCATTGTTTTTTTTTATTAAAAAACACTAGAATGTCATTTATCAAATGTTCTGATATTTGACATAATTATTGTTTTTTAATAATGTTACAGATACCATTATAGTAATTTTTGTCTTAATCAATTTTGGGTTTCAATTCTCTACCTATTGTTTAAATTGAAATACTATTTTAATATTTTAAAAACTATCACAAAACTAACTTGGAAAATGCCATTAAAATTAATATTATTATACAGCATACTATCATAAATATAATATGATCATCTAATCATACAATAACTGTAATTAAGAAATAAAGTAATTAGCTAAGAATACAAATCAAAGTTGACAAACATAGTGATCATATTTACCGTATACTTCAAATCTGTAAATCTTCAAATCCCTTTTTATAAATTTAAAATATTTAACTTAATGTGAGTTAAACATAAATGTGTAACTACTAAGTAATTATCAGTAGTAGTAATGCAGAAATATATGTAGTGCATTGATGCCAAATTGATAAAAATTAATAAAATAAAAAAGGCATTTTTAATTATTTAAAGTGAAAGTAATTTATTAGTGTTTGTTAATATTTTCATTAATAACAGCATACTTTTATTGTTTTTCTATGATAAAACTTTGTTCTGTGCTAAATATGAATATTGGTGTAGAGTAGAATTTTGTAAACTTTAGGCTGTTGACCCCTTCAAATATTATCAATCCCTTCTTCTTGTTTTATAACAGTTAATAATAATAATTAATAAATAAATCTGATGAGCAAATATTAATTAATTCAAATGTTGTTTTCATAGACTAGATCTACTTATATTGTGCAGATTTACGTCATCTTGAACTGTCATATACATACCTATTGGACTCATAATTTTTAATGAACTATTTTCAATTAGCCCCAAAAATTTTCAACACCCAAAAAATGTTTTATCAACTCTTGAAGGTCAATATTGGCCACCTTGTAGATTCCTGAAATAACATGACTTCCAGTTTACATCAGAAGTTTGTACATAGTTAATTGGTGCCTCATGCCACTAAGCTTTCCATATATCGTTTCAGCTTTCATCTATGTAACTCCATTCTTGAGATTAAGACAGGTGGACAGACAGTTGGATGACAATGGGAATTTACAGGTCTGCAATTTTTTTAGATAGCAGCCAAATTATTAATTATATACTTAAATGGAAGCTACAGTTAAGTGTAAGCCATGGTACTTAAAAATGAATCTCTTGCTTGTATATTTATATTAAAGTATATGCATTTAGGCTCCATGTTGCCATCTACATGTTGTGCATACACTTCACATAAAAGAACAATTCAATTAACAACTTAACTACAAAATTATATATTTTTGAAGTCCATTATAACAGGGCCAATTTTGATAATATATATAACAAAATTGGTAGGATCAATTTGAATAATACTAACTTGGGTTCAGCACAACACTGCTGAAAGGTTGCCAATCCTTGTAATAATAAATTTGAATTTTATTATTCAGAAAATGTTATGAAATCTGAAATTTCTATTTAGAAAAATTAGTAATATAAAAATAATTTCGTCTTTACAGTAATCAATCTGTTTTAAAATATTCATGACATGATGATGATTTATTTTTTTGTGTTTTTTTTTTTCTTAATGTGTACATAAGGCATTTCCATAAGATAACAATTTTCTGCTGATTTTTTTTTCATGCATAATTATGCTGCACATAATTGCCATTCCTCCAATTTGACAATTCTAAAAAATCCTGTAATGTCTTCTCAGCACATACAAAATTTCATCATCATATGTTGTTAGTTTGAGATATTATTTTGTTTACAGAACAGTGTCCTTTTAAGAGCTCTCATAGGAATTCTCAAAATTTTGCAATAGCATGGGCTAATGTGAAATGAGTTCAGCTGGAAATAAATGATGGGAGGCTTAGGTGTTTGTCAGAAGGACCAGAAATTTATTTTTCTGTTTTTTAGACATGAAATAAAGCTGTAAAAACATTTTAAATTGTTGAAGGTCATTGTGCCCAAGGCTATTTTACAGAGATGAGCATTCAAGGTCATAGTGTCTTGCAGACTGCCATATTACATCACACATAGCTGACAAACATCCATGACATTATGACTATTTTTTCTGGTAATTATGAGAGACATCTGTGACATCTCTCACAATTTATGTCAGAGCAGAAAATCAACACATTTGCTTGCAGTCTTGTGAAAAAAACTGTGGATGATTGCATGTGCAAGGCAGCAAATTTAGCAGTTTTTTTAGGTGTTTTTAATAAGTGGAAAATTTTTATTGAAATTTTTACACAGATGGATAACGTGTAGCATGACGATATTATGGAAGCATAACTAAGTTCCATCTGCAAAAAATGTCTGAAAATAAAGTAGTAGGTATGGAAGATTACAGCTATTGTATGTGATCACCAATTAACACTTAACACAAATTATTTTTTTAAACAGTTATGTCAGTAGAACTGATAAATAATCTGACTTGCATTACACAATATCTCATTAGTTTGTAGCAAGGTTTTTGTATTGTTTATAATTAATCTGACACATTTTTCACTAATTGAAACAACTGTCAAAAAATTTTGCTGGATGGTTGCATTTCATACACAGATCGTAAGATAATTTTCCAGAAATTTGATATTTAATTTGTCTGTAAATCTAAATGAAAACATCAATGAATTTAGTGTAGTAGAAGAAAAATTATTAAAGATCTGAAAATAATTTTTTTATTATTCACTAATTAGCTAATCTAATTTAATTCAGAATCTTGATGAATTCTTGATCTTAATGAAATCTGTAAAAATATACTGTTTAACAATTTAAAAATGATTGCCAAAATGTAAGCAGTGTTCATTTTATTAATAAACATTAATTTCAAAAATTTATGTTTGATAAAATCAATAGAGTTAAACATTTTGAGTGTGTCCATTAATTCTGATCAAGACATCATCTTGATCAGAGTTAATGGACATTTCAGCAAGTGCAAGGATTACCGCTCCTGTGGCCAGCAAGTATGGGGATATATTCTTTTATGGCAATGAGTGCAAAGTTTGACCGTCTGCAACCATCAGGTACAAGGATCATTTCTTTCTTTGCAGCTCCACCTCAGTTCTATTGCAATACGACAAAGTAGCACAATGTCCTAGTTAACTTTTCTACTGTGTTCCCTTTCTATGTTTAAGTTAAGAGAACAAAACCACAGCTATTTAAGACAGTTTCCTGCTTGTTCAGTATCTAAATGCAACATTCAGTAAGTTTCTATGTCATTGGTATGATACCTACAATGAAGTGCAAATCAGTACAAAAAATTACATTGTCTTTAGAAATGTGTATATGTTAATTCTCACTGAATTCCATATGTATAATACAAGACCAGATGAGACATTGAAGACTGTACAGATCAGACAGAACACTTCAAAGAACATTCATTTAGTAGCTCTACTGTATCTTTGTAGTAGCAAAAATTTGATTTTTTTAGAATGCGTGCAAGCACCTACTGTTATCTTAGCGTTGAATTAAGGAACAACAGAATTTTATTCAGTAAGTTACCAGTATGACAATGTTGACTTTAGGAACTTTGTCATTTATTGTATATTTATTTTTCCCCCTTTATATTTTGCTATAAAATTATATAATTGTTTGTTCTAAAGATTTTCTATTATATCTATGCAAATTGTTCTACAAACTAATTTATACTAGTACATGAGTGAATTTCTTCAAGAGTGATAAATAAAATTTATTTATTTTTTTTATTGCATATACAAAAGGAAATGTCATAAGACAATTGATATCCTCCCCAAAAATTACACCCATAACAAAAGATTAAAATACAAATAAATTAAAAAAAGGATAATAATCAAAATACATGATAAAAACTAAACATAAATAAAGATGAATGATTAAAAAATGTAACCATTTACAAATGTGTTTAAAATGTAGAAAATATTTGTGTAGAGATTGTTCCACATAGCCTATATTCTGAACAGATTGGTAGAAAAATGATCTGAAAGAAATGGAAAGCCTAAAAGATGGGGTAAATAAACAAGTTTGGTTACAAGTAACTTGTGGCAGAACTCTTTGGCACAGCCAATCAGAATGAATAGAACCATGGAAGTATTTGTATAAAAGTAAATGGTCAAAGTATTTAATATGTTCAGTAAAACTGGGAATTTCTAATCTGGACTTGGCAACATTAGCATTAGGGGTAAAAGGAAATTGTCTATTGTTCCATTTGTACCAATATGAATAATCAATATTCTGAAACAGTTTTCTTAGATAACCAAAATCTATAGTTATTGTTGTTACAAATGTGAATTAATTTTTTAAACTTACTTATTTAAAATCTTTGTCTTGAATAATTTATAAATTTAAATATTAAGATTTTGTAATTTGAATTAATTGGAAATTAAAAATGTCTCAATTTCAGCTCAAATATTGCAAGCCGAATTGTCCATGTTAAACCTCAACCTACCGGCTCGTGTTTGGTTGCCAATACATTCGGCCACTCTATCGCATCTCGTTGTTCGCGTACCTCCTCAAGCTGCTGTGGTTCTCAATTCGAAAGATAAGGTGAGGTTCTTTGAATGTCTTCAAATATACAGAATAATTTATCAGGCTTTATTTAATGTATAATTAAACGTTTTTAACAGTTTGTAATTTTGCTAAGAATTCAAAAATTGGATCATGCACAAATGCTTAAAAAGTTGATTGATATTCTGTTCTTGTCATTTTTGTCTAGTCTTACACTTTTAATGGAAGGATAATTAAGAAACAATGGATCAAAATATAATAAGAATTTATATTTAATATATTTATATTTATTACAGTAGAGCGTCGATTATCCGAATTAATTGGGGACTGGGGTTGTTCGGAAAATCGATATTTCGGATAACCAATTATGTACGAAAAAATATATTAACCTATCCCATGTTGAAATTTTTCTCCGTTGCGTGTCACCTCGCATTGAATTTTCGTCGATGTTAAGCCTAATGAAGACTATTGTATCGTTAAAAATTTTTTTTTTTATTTTGTACAAACAAAATAAATATATTGAAAAATATAAAAACAATAAAAAATTATACTTCAGAAGTTAATTTAGTATCAAAAACGTAAAATATTTGAGTAGCCCAAGACATAGCCAAAGATTGCAGCGCCACAGCACTGGCGAAAATTTAAATTTGCC